TTATTATAGGTATATTAATTTTAGGCATTTGGAGCAAAAAGAAGCAAAAAGGTATAAATTTTGAGTCAAAATGCAGTTTTTTAGCATACTGGCGCCAGACACGCCAGAGGTGCCAGAATCCAGGGAGGGGCACAAAACTCCATTAAACAGATGCCTGAGACAAATTTAAATGAATTGATGGCAGTTATTGATTATTCTTAAGATGTTCTAGAAGGCTCCAAATAATTCAAACGTCTCATGGAGGGTTCAATGCATCTAGACACTTGAGGAAGGCTCTTGAAAGAAGAGATATGTCTTTTGGATGAAGAAATTTGTTTCTTGATGTGAAGAGGTGTGCCTCTTGGGAAAAAAGAGGGAATCTTGAATTTCCTTGGAGAAGAGGCAAGCGCCCCTATTAAGAAGTTTAAGGAGTATTGTCTCGTGGTGGCGTGTGGAGTTTTCGGAGGAGAGTAGAGAGTTAGGTTTTGGAGAGGATTTTCTTCTAGAAATTGTACAAGGAGAGGGAAGGTGAGAGATTTCTTCTTCATTACATTTTTAAGAGAGAATTGAGTGTGATTATAAAGAGAGAAAGTGCTTCAAGGGAAATTCAAGGGTTTTGTTTGAGGAGGAGTGTGAGATAAGTTGTGTTCTTTCTTTTCTTTATTTTGTAAACTTGTTTATATATGCCTATAATGAGATATGATTTTGTGAAGAATTAATATTGTTGTGTAATGTTTTAATTATCAATAAATTGTGATGATTCAAACTCTAATCTTCATTTACTTTTCGATCTGACTTGTTGAAATATTAAAATTTCTTAAGAAACATAAGATCCCACAGGGCTATGCTTTCTACAAGAAGGTAAGAGTCACATTCAATTTCATGGGTGAGAATGTAGTCCATGGGGTTGAGTGCAAATAAATAGGGAAATATATTTTGATGAGCGTAGAATTAGAAATTTTAGGGCGACAGACTAAAATCCCCAATTTGGTCCAGTTGCTTGGAAACTAATGTAAGATTGTTAGCCCTCAGAAGAGGGGGAAGTGGGAGATCTGGAGTGGGAGCCAGTATCTTCTCAACCTAACCTTAGATTTAAGGACCAAACTCTGGATTAGCCAATGTTCTTTATGAACTCGACAGATAGTAAAGAATATGATTTCTCATATTTGGCACAATATAAGTTTATATGAAATTTTAATTAATTTTAATTGCTTCACTAACTATAAACTCATTGTAACGTGGAAGGATGCTTTCTTAATTTTGAACTCTTCGTTACAAAACTTTGTTTAGTCTTAGTAAGTTTAACTTTGAAGTTTAAAAATTAGCTTAGTTAACTTAATTCTTTTAGCTACATTTTATTTACCATACATTAAATTTACTTTATATTTGTTTTTCTTACTTAAGTTTTTTATAGTTTGAATATTATGTTTTACATTATAACCATAAGAATTCATCTCCCTGTGGGATTGATACTTAGGACTCAATTAGAGTCCTTTATTCCTTGAGCGATGCACATACTTGCGTAATTACTAGGATTGACAACTGAAAAATTTTTAAATGGAAAATTATTTATATTGAAGTGATTTTTATTGTGATTGATCTGTATATTTACTACTCATGTTGTCATGTGTGTGTTATAGTATTGAAAGATATTTACAACACATACATAAAATTTGCTTCATATATATATATATATATATATATATATATATATATATATTAAGTTCTCTAATTGTCTTGCTCCTTAATAGCGACAACTGTGAAAAGCATAAGAAAATTTATAAATCAAAACAAATCTTAAACACATAATTTGCTAATGATACTCCCTGTTAGGCATTTTTCACGCTGATATCTATGTTATCGTCTTCTAGATATGGCATTCTGAAGTTTTTATGTGGGGTAAAATTCCTTCGTTAGGGGAAAAAGTCTTCCGTCGAGGGAAAAAATCCTCTTTTGGAAAATTAGTCCTCCGTTGGGGGAAAAGTAGACCGTCGGAGGAAAATTTGGTCAAGGATAGCCAATTTGAAAGGACTAGACTGCATGTGTGATTCTGACGGTGATTGTTTTAGTCTAACAAGTATGGTGACACTTTCAATCTTTATATGAAGCCCGCAAGTTTCTCTCTCCTAAAAAGCAAAGCTGCAATAAGATTGGAAAAATCATAAATATTGGAAAGATTTTATTTCCTTAGCCTCTAACATAATTTAGTTTTTTAATAACATTATTGTTGGCTTTTGATGAGTAAATTTTTGAGAAGATTATTGATTAAGTTTTTAGATTTTTTGGATATGATGTTTGTTCAACTTAAGTTTCACCTCTCACGGAGCTTATCGCTACTGGGTGGCGAGTCATATTTGGGTTATAGATGATCTTCGTACACCCCTCACAGAGCTTGTCGCAACATGGAGGTGAATCATCTCTGGGTAGAAGATTAATATACACCCCTCGCGGAGCTTGTTACTATCGGGTAGCACTCAAAGATGATTGACATACACCCCTCGTGGAGCTTAACGCTGCTGGGTAGTGTATCATCTTTGTGTTGTACATGATCATCATACACCCCTCACGAAGCTTATTGCTGTCAGGTAGTGAATTATATTTGGGTTATAGATGATCCCCGCACACCCCTCGCAGAGTTTGTCATTGTCGGGTGGTGAATCATCTTTAGAGTCGAGAATGATCATCGTACACCCTTCACGAAGCTTATTGTTGTCGAGTGTAAAATCATCTCACGACCCTTAATACCAATCAGGCATCCATGACATCATCGTCAGTTGTGTTTTTATGCCTCGGACCGATCAGACGCTCTTGGCGTCGTTGTCGGTTTTACTACCCGGGTTCGAGTTTCCCAAGTGTCAAGTGGTCACCATCATGCATCGACTCCTTGATCTCGCCATGTCTTAACCATGATCCTTCACGTAGAAATAAAAAAAATACTATCAAGTGCATGTATCATAAAGTAAGCTTTGGTAGAGATAACATGCTTATATGGGTTCGACGATTGGCCGAATTTTTCCCTCAGGTCCCCAAACGGTGCGCTACGTCCGCTATCCAAGCAAAATACACCATCTGGTCTTGCGGGACCCATATTTACACGTCATGATAAAGGAAAATTTTCATGTTAAGCTCGGCCCAACCCGACGTGCTAAATGTTACGTATTATCCCGCCTTTTTGGCGTATTCCCGACTATATTTGGCGTATTATTCCCTCAGAAACTTTTATTTTACATTATTCAGTAGAAAAGAAGTTTTCAAAAAGGGTTTTTTGTCTCAGCTAGGGTTTGGTCGCTGCATTTATGATGGAGTTAGATTTCTCTCTTAATGAAGAGTTTGAGCACATGGATGACGAAATGAATGTCATCATCTTTGAAACAGAGGTTAGATTTCTTGCTTACTTCAATCGTTTTCCATTTTTCCGAGAGTAACCCAACAATAACCTAGAATAACCTGCGCATAAACCCACCAGATCTCTAAAAAAAGTGAGATTTTGTGAGAATCTTCGATTGTCGTTAGGTTATTTCATCATTCTTCTGTGTTTAGGGTTATTTATTTTCGGGTTGATTGAAGAAATACTCAATAACCCAAAAATAACCCAACAGTAACCTAAGAATAACCTGCGCATAAACCCACCAGATCTCTAAAAAGTGAGATTTTCTGTGAATCTTCGATTATCGTTAGGTTATTTTATCATTATTCTGTGTTTAGGGTTATTTATTTTCGGGTTGATTGAAGAAAAACTCAATAACCCGAGAATAACCCAACAATAACCTAAGAATAACCTGCGCATAAACCCACCAGATCTAAAAAAAAGTGAGATTTTGTGTGAATCTTCGATTGTCGTTAGATTATTTCATCATTATTCTGTGTTCAAGGTTATTTATTTTCGGTTTGATTGAAGAAAAACTCAATAAAAATAACCTAAGAATAACCCAACAATAACCTAAGAATAACCTGTGGTTAGGGTTATTTATCTGACTATCTCTATTGTATACTTTAAATTTGTAGATATCTAGGGCAGAAACAGATTGCAATGATCCAATTGCTCGTAGCTTTCTTAATACTGTCGTCCGTAATGAGGAAGAGACTTACAAACATTATTGTGCTTGTGCACATTACGTTGGTTTCACTGTACACAAGGACCACACAACTTACTGGGCTAAATCCAAGCAAATTATGTCCAAGGATTATATTTTTGGAAAATCAGGTCATAAAAGAGAATCTCAGCTAGCCACTATTGTGAAGTATAGAAAAGCGAATACACGGACTGGCTGTCAAGCAACGGTTTGCTATGCTATTGATCTTGACGACAACTGGACCATAAAGAAATTTGTAAAAAGTCATAACCACCCCTTGGCGGAATCCGGTGACAAGCACCTTCTACGTTCCAGCCGGAAGATTAGCGAGTTAAATACAAATTTACTAAAATCAATGGCAGGTTCTGGGATTAGAGCAGCTGATGGAGCAGCTAATGCATTCAATTTCCTTGCTACAGTGGTTGGTGGTGTTGAAAACTTGGAGTGCACTAGACAAGATGCATACAACTTCATTCAAAGGGATAAAAGCAGTAGAATTGAATAGGGTGATGCCAACGCTCTCTTATAATTATTCATTGAGCCCCAAAATGAAGATAGCATGTTTGCATAGGATTTCCAAAGTGATGACGAGGGCAGACTTACAAGCTTTTTCTGGAGTGATGGGTCTTGCAGACTAGATTATGATTGTTTTGGAGATGTCATCATTTTCGACACTAGCTACCGTTTGAATAAGTATAATTTATGTTGTGCTCCTTTCGTTGGGATTAACCACCATCGGCAAAATGTTCTATTCGGAGTTGGTTTTTTAAGTATAATTTATGTTGTGCTCCTTTCATTGGGATTAACCACCATCAGCAAAACGTTCTATCCGGAGTTGGTTTTTTATCTGACGAGATGATAGAATCGTTCAAGTGGTTATTCAAAACCTTCATTTGTATAATGGATGATAAGCATCCAATTATAATATTTACATATCAGGATCAAGCGATGACAAGAGCTATTGCAGATTGTCTTCCATTCACAAGACATAGATTATGCCAATGGCATATCTATAAGAAATTCTCGTCGAAAGTTCATTGTGGTGTGACGTACAAGAGCGTTAACAATCTATTTTATAAATGCATGAGCAAGTGTGATTCGGAAGATGAGTTCAAAGTTACTTGGGCTCCAATGATAGAGCAAGGAAACCTGCACAACAACATGTGGCTAGATGCATTATACCGTATAAGACATAACTGGTCAACTGCATTCAATAAAGAAATTTTTGGAATGGGAATTTTGTCTACTCAAAGAAGTGAGTCCACAAACAATGTTTGTCATGGTGCATCTAAGCCCACTAGTTCCCTTAGAGATTGCTTTCTGGGGTTAGAAAATATTATGAAGTCATGGAGAAGGAACAAAAAGGATGAAGACTTTAAAATCTTTCAAAATGTTATTACACCGACAGTTAAAATAAGCCCAGTGTTGAGGCAAGCTGCAACATATTATACCCGGAAACTCTACTCTATGTTTGAGGAAGAGTTACTTCACGGGTTATATGGATTGACATTCGATTCCTCAGTTGAGAGTCCATGCAAATTCTATGTTAGAGGTTTGGATAATCAGGACACAAGTAGAGCTTGGCTTGTTACATTTGATAGGCTTAATTGCGACATCACCTGCAGTTGCAAGAAATTCGAAATGACAGGTCTTCTTTGCTCTCACTTTCTACGCATTCTTAATGCTAATAATATAACAAAGATTCCCGAGAAATATTTGTTATTCAGATGGTCTGCTAAGGCAAAGAAATATATCAATAATAATTTTGAATACAAACATATGAAAAACCCTCGGGCTCAAATTTCTGGCACAACATCCAGAGGAATCCTATTTCAGTCACATGCTCAAAAGTTTGCCTACCAATTAATTAATAAAGCTAACGAAAATGAACGTGCCAAGACATATATAATTGAAATATTGAAAACAGGTTCCGAAGGTATTGAGGATATATTAGATGGGAAGGACCTAAACCAAATAGGCTAAACAAAAAGAGGAAATCCCATAACAGTGACTGCAATGTGAATGATCCTGCAAAAATGAGACCGAAAGGTATTTCTAATGCGAGGTTGAAAGGACACTAGGAAAAAAACAAGCGAGCTAAAGGTATATATCTCTACATTACATATATTTACCATTCTACGTTCCATATACTAACGATTATATGTAAAATTAATTATCTTATTATTTTACCACTGTTCGTAGGAAAAAATCAAGAAACATATGTGACACAAGAATCGTACAGGAATTACGACCCAAATACGTTTGCAGCGTCAAAGTCTCTAAGTCAGGAAATTGTCATACCGAATCCAACATGCTTTGTGCCCAATATAATTCACATGTTATAACGTGTTATGCCCACATTAACTCATTTGTATCAATGTACAAGTTCATATAACATTATTCCAATTGGAAGTTGTAGATATACGGTTTGTAATTTATCTGTTTTTTTAGTACAGAATAACCCCGATAATAACCTGAGAATACCCCAAGAATAACCTCAAAATACCCCAACAATAACCGGGGAAAACCCCAAGAATAACCTGACAATACCCGGAGAATAACCTGATAATACCCCGATAATAACCTGACAATACCTTGGGATTAACCTGAGAAAACGCCGAGAATAACCTGAGAATACCCGAAGAGTAACCTGTTAATACCCCGAGAATAACCTGACAATACCCCAAGAGTAACCTAAAAATACCCCAACAATAACCTTACAAAGTAACCTAAAAATACCCCAACAATAACCTTACAATACCCCGAGAATAACCTGATAATACCCCGAGAATAACCTGACGTTACCCTGATAATAACCTGAGAATACCCCGATAATAACCTGAGAATACCCGGAGAATAACCTAAGAATACCCCGAGAATAACCAGAGAATACCCCAAGAATAACCTCAAAATACTCCAACAATAACCTAACAATACCCTGAGAATAATCTGATTATACTCTAATAATAACCTGAGAATATCCCAAGAATAACCTAAGAATACCCCGAGAATAACCTGAGAACCCCGGGAATAACCTGAGAATACCTCGGGAATAACCCGAGAATACTCCAAGATTAACCTCAAAATACCCCAACAATAACCTAAAAATACCCCGAGAATAACCTGAGAATACACCGATAATAACCTAACAAGATAAAAATACATCAACAATAACCTATGAATAACCTAACAAAATAACAATACATCAAACAGATAATACATTTAAACAGATATATACAAAATAACAATATATCAAACAGCTTAGTCCTGTAAGATAAACCCAAGATAAACCTACACAAAACCCGCACAAAATAACAATATATCAAACAGATAATACATTTATTCTCCAAATAATCAATATCTGCAGATTTCATATACTATCTCTGCCCTAAACCAAGGCATCTCCGCCTGCCAGACTTGAAAATATTTCCAATTAATCGTGCCTTTCTGTACAATTGTCTCTATATATTTACAAACAAATATACCGCAATCAACGCTATTAGTTTTTGTGGGAATTCCTCTAGCCGTGCTAATATCCCATTTACTCGGGTCACTGCGGAGTCACTGCGGAAAGCATTATCGGCGTCCTTATGAAGATGCCTTATCTGGTAATATAAATGGTTGTCAAAAATAGTGAAATAATAAATATGAATGTGACGGTTGTTAGTTAGATGAGGCTTAGAATTTTACCACGTCACATGTGACTCCCAAATGCATTTTATTAGGCAATGAGTCATAGAATCTTCACTTGCGGTCCTTCTTGTTCCCAACAAGTAGAGTCCAATGCCTATTATTAACAATTGGAATTAAAATTGCATCTGCCTGAGCTACAGCTTCCACTGTGACGTGGGCAACAATATCTCGTAGAGGATGGTCTCTAAACCCCTACATATACATAATAAATGAGTTTAAAAAGAGCATGAACCTGTTACATATACAAAATTAATGGGAATTTTATTACGTACCCAATGCGCCGGAGAGACGTACAAATAGGGTCTAAAAGAATCAGGGGACTGACGCCAACGATTTTGTAATCCAATGGCAAACAAATCTACATGATCCACGGCGATTTCTTTATTATCCCAAAGTGCTTCCAGGTCAATTCAACTAATATGAATGTGACCCTGAGTAATTATTAAGTTATCCCTGCAAATTGATTGAACAATATTTATTAGATTTAATAAAAAATTGACAGAAAAAATGTTCTGTTTTGTATATACCTTTCTTTGTGCATTCTTAAATAGCTATTGATCACCTGTTGCATGTGTGATGATAGTAGTTCTCTGCCGGGGAACTCTATGGCTGAAGAAGGGAGGGCACCTTCATATGGAACAATTGCGCCCGGCTGTACCTCCTCCCAAGCTTCTCCTGCCTC